TCTCTCTCTCCCTCTCTCTCTCCCCTCTGTCTCTGGTCTCTGTCTCTTCTCTCTCATTCCTCTGCGTCTGTCTCTTCTCTCTCTCTCTCTCCCTCTCTCTCCTCTGTCTCTGGTCTCTGCCTCTTCTCTCTCTCTCTCTCCCTCCCTCGCTCCCTTCTCTCTCTTTCCCTTCTCTCTCTCCTGTCTTTTCTCAAAGATGCAGGGTCATCTCAGCACCATTCTGTGTGTCTTTTTGATACTGAACTTTCCAGAGCAAAGTCTTAAAACCAGCTGAGTTGAAGGCAGATTGTAGGTGTGCCCAGTATGAGGCATGTCACACAGTCATGCAAAACAATCTAGAGTATTTTTACAGAATGGATTATCTTTGTTTACCTTAGCAAAGCCATTTCACATATGTTGTTGTTTGTGACCCACCCTTTTGCTGGGATACAAGAGCAAAGCTTCTCCAAGAGGGGGAGAAAAAGAAGAAAGATGTGTGAGCTCCCCCTGGTGCCTTCCTGTATTCAGGCCGACTGAAAGGAACAAGGAAACATGTCTACATAGCTTTAGGAAAATGAAATAATCTGGATTATTTCTTCTAAAGGCTCACTTCCATGCTGATAACAAAATGTCTCAGAGCAAGAACTCCAGGCATTAGGCCTGAATTGTATCTGTCACCTTAGGAGGCTGTGTTACCTGGTCAGAGAACATGTTCACCCAGTAAAGTTATAAGTGAGGATTTGGCAACTGCCTCGGGACTAGGATTATTCATGGAATCAAATCATATTAATATGATTAATTTTTGCACTCTTTTCTTTGTATGAGTAGACATCATAAAGATATCATGGGAATATAGCCAATTTATCCCAATAATAATTTATAATGAAACCTTTCACACTTGGGTCAAACACTTATGTGAACCCCAGTCATCAGTAAAGGCAGTGGGGGAAATTCCATTCAGTTTGACATTAATTACAGTGGCCGGCAACAACTTATCAACATGTATGTAGTTTATTTAGAGTATAAAAATAGTATGAACCATGATCTGTGCCTACACCTGAGCAAATCAGTATCGGGACAAATTTAAGTATTCATTAGTAAGGTTTAAAGTACACAGGTCAACATTATCAATAGGTGTGGTAGTGCATGCCTACAATTCCAGAAATCTGGAGGCTGAGGCAGGAAGAGCACCATGAGTTCAAGGCCAGCTTGGACTCTGTAGCAACATCCTGTCTCAACAAACAAAACAAAATGAAACAAAAACACATTAGTACCTCCTCAGTCTCTGCAGAGCTTTTGTTTTATTTCATCCTATATGTGTGATTTTGTTGGAGTAGGCATCTTACAAAAGCAAGCAGAAAACTGAAGCCCATTCATAAAACCGCATCAAGCTTTAATTAATCTACATCATAACCTTGAATTCATAGATTTTTATTTCTTACAACATATTGAGAGTCTTCCCCACCCCTTATCTCTTCACTAACATTTTTCCTGTCATCTGCACTTTAATTGTCTCTTCTACCTGGCCATTGAGCATCTGCAGCCCACTTTGTCTAGGAGAGACTTGCCTCTTTTCTGGCCAACTCCTCACTTACACAAATTGCTCCCTTTCCTAATTCTTGTTTGCATATATTGCCTGCACCACACGGTGAGTCCTTTACTTGAATTGATAAAACTCACAAACACGCGTGTGTTAACTCTGAGTCTGAATCAGGAGCTCCGCGAAGAAAGGTAATGACTTTTGCTTCTTCTGAATTTCCACTATGAAAGGGTGCTGGTACTGCTTTACCAGTGCTCTACTAGATAAGTAAATTGAAATAATAACTTTGTCATCAACCCTGCCCAGTTTCTTTTTCTTTTGTGGTACCTGGAATTGATCTCAGGACCTTACACTTGCCAGGCAAGTGCTTGTGCCACTGAGCTACATCTCCAGTCTGAAATATTAACTTTGAGAGATTTGCTTAGTCTCAAAAATGTTAAGTCTGTCTCTTCAATTAAAAAATTGTCAAATTAAGGAGCCATTTCCAGGATTTTAATTGATGTATCAGTTGTACTTTGCCTTCACCCCAAAAGGACTTAAAGGGGGCTTAAAATATGAGAACTAGATGAGATTATTAGTTCTGTCTCTGTGAGCTCTAAACTTGTATGTTCTAGATCCCAAGTTGAACAATGAGAGGTAAAAGTTAAAAGATGTGTTGTTTTATAATATCTCTCATTAGCATGTCAAGAGAAAAAGAAATCACAGATAAAAAAATTTCAGAAATATTTTTGTGTCTTCGCATAGCATACACACGCACACATACATACATACATACTCACACTAGAACTGCACTGGCAGGGAACATAGGTTGTTTAAAGTATAGCTATTCAACTGTCATATAAAGTGAAATCTACATTTTCTCTCCCTATATGACTATATATTTAACATCTCTATGCATATGTGTGTACATACATATGTATATGTTATACACACACACTCCACATTATTATTTCAAAGGGGATTTTGCTCCTTCTGGCTACCAGCAATAACTAGTCAATATTTACACTCTTGAATATCGATGACATCGTGCATACACAGGAAAGCTGTGGAAAATATCTCCATTTTCAAACAGAGTTTTAATTATTTGTCAAGACTTCAATTGTTCACTGTCTAATGTCATGGATTGGTCCTCACAGTGTGAAGTACAACTGTCCAGAACCCCCACAGTATTATAAATAGGCTTCTAAAGCTGGGTTGATTGATGTTTGGCATAAAACGCTATTCCTCTGAGCACATATATTCCTTCTGTTCACCATTTTCATAGAAAAATACCAGGGCTGATTTTTTATTCAAATCTCCAATTTATGCAGGGTTTAAACTACTAAATACTTAAAGCCTTTTTCAGATCTTTTTTCCCTTTTCTGTTAGGTAAGTAACTAAATCTTCTGCTTCAACACAAATAAGAATTGGAGATTTAGCTGATTCCTGTGGGGAAGAGAAAGAGTTTATTAATTATATTGAGAATCAAATAATATGCTTATTTGACACTAATGTTCCATCTTTCTCCACCCCAAGTATCCTATGGGACAACTTTAAAGCCTTTATCGGGATCTAGATTACTGCATTTATGGTTCCTTAGAAGAAGGAATTTAATGAATGGCATTCTAAGTTGAAGAGAGAATTTGAGATGTTTTAAGGTTTAAGCTGCAGCCGTGAAACAATTCTTTTCAAAGTATGTCCCAGGGATTGTAATATAAAACATCAAAAAAGCACAGTGAAGTACATTTTCATGAGTTTTAATAAATTTTTAATACTGATGAAATGTAAATTTTTC